CACACACACACACACACACACACACACACACACACACACACACACACACACACACGTTTGTTCTTCTATCCTCATGGAGACTTCGATTGACTTCCATTCATTTACTAGTGATTTCGGGACAATAGTCCCAATATTTATAAATGAGCAGAAAAGTGAAAAACTGGAAACATTTAGCGATTTAATTTAAGTTTGAAAGAAAAAGATTTAAATTTTTAGGACTAAAATGCTATTCCGCTGTTGACAATGTTACATTTGGCAGCATTTGATACTCAGGGACCATTCTTGTGGTACACTTGGGACGTTTGTGTTACATTTTAAGTATTTGAGCTTCTTTCTGTATATTCCTGCTGTTTTCAACACATTTCATTACTCACCCAAGCTTTCCATTACCACCAAACTTCATTTCACTTTTGCATCTTTTTCTTTTTCCTCATACATTGATTATGTTTGTATCAGAACCCATTACCTACTGGTAAGCCCCATCCCTATGGGGTGTGCTGAAGTGTCCTTGTGCAAAATATTAACATCACTGCCCATGACATGCTTATATCGCTCTCATAAAGAGTTTTATTTAAACATGGGGACATGGTGTTGAGAAAGACAGATTTCTGTAGCACCCACGTTTTCTATCTTTACATTCAAATAAAATTTTTCCTCTTTAAGCAGCAGTTTTTAGCATTAGGTGTTAAACAGTACAGTTTTAGTGTTTGTTCAGCAAGATCCAATGTGGCTTTATCCAATTAATTAAACATTTAGATGAATTTATTGAGAACTAAGTCTTGGATAAGTCAGTGGTGCCTTTCTCTAAATGAGCTCAGTTTCCAGACAGAAAAGCTCTTTTCAGTGCTGTCCATGTTTTGCTCTAACAATTCATTCCCTCTTTTTCTTTTCCATAGACTCACACTATTTTCTCCCAGCTGAGCCTTGATTATGCCTACGTCACCAGCATCGGCCGCCTAATTGGAGTGGTTTCCCTCAAGGAAGTAAGAAGTTTTAATCGTCTCAGTGTTGTAATTTTGCTTCCTTATTTTATGTTTAATATGTTTAATATGCGACATAATTATGTTGCATATTTATTCACTGAGCTGCTGCCAAGTTCTCTGAACATTTATTGTAAGAATATTTTAAATGTCATTTATATACAAACAGCATGCCTCACAAACAAACTGAAAACTATGCAATGATTGTTGCTCCCAGACAGAATCACACTGAATCTGATTTACTTAAATCTGAGTGACAAACGTAAAAGAGCATTCATTAAACGTAGCATTGGGCTGCGACTAAATAAATGTAATCCATTTTATTGTTTGCATTTTGTCAGTAATTCATTAGAGTTCTGTTTATTCAGATGATAAATGTTTTCTATTTGAAAAATTTACATAAAAATGAAATAAAATATTTACGAAAATATTCTAAATAAATTTGTGACTGTTTAATTCTTTAGTTTCTACGTCAGTGCTCCACCAACAATAAACTGTTGACTGTACAATAACTGGTCTACATGATATTTCTGATTGTAACTCATAATTTTACAGATAAACATGAACAATTATAGCATTCTTTAGAAAGACTCACAGGAAGTGAATGCATTCTCAAACCTGAGTGCAACAATGGAGCAAATCTAAATATTGCTTTAATTTGAGTGTGTTTTGGCTGGTTTTAATTTGTTTTCTATTTATTTTATTTGCTCTTTCAGCTCTGTAAAGCCATTGAGGGCTCAGTGACACTGAAAGACATGAAGGTGCGTCCACGTCTAATCAGTTTCCGTAACAGCAGCAGCAGCAAGACTGAGGCCACTGAGCTCCACAAGTTGTGGGACCGTCACAAGAGTGTGTCACTGCCTGGTGATCACACCCTGTCAGAGTCCGATGAAAAGTCTCAGTGAGAGGCAGTGGGGAATACAGATCATGGGGTAAGAGCTGGTGGAGGTCACATTAAGGTGTTAAAGCTCCAAAGCCACAAACATGCATAACTCCTAAGGGCAAAGGATTCGTATTTATTTGTGGAGTTCAAGTTTGGGTCGGGACTCAAAGTGGGTTCCCGAAACATCAAGGTGGGGTCCTGAAAAGATTTTCTGAATTAATTACATTTTAGTCTTAGTTGTTACAAAGGAGTGAGGTTAGTGTATTGAAAAAGGATAAATGTAGTATAAAAATATTTACTATGTCCAGTTGACCTGATACAAATATTTGTCATCCAAAAATAGTCGGGAACACAGGTCTCTGCTACTGTTATTTTGTGGGTCAAAAACTGAAAAGTTTGGGAACCACTGCACTTTGGGCTTGGGACCAAATTATGGGTCGTGAAGCACCTTGGTTAATCTCCAGAAATCAATTTACAGGGTAATAAAATAATTGCTGATGTAATATTTTCCCTATAACTATTACAGAAACACAAAATAAGTATAAATAAATATTTATAATTGTGTACAAGCTGTTTAGACTGTCAAAAAGCCTGTGTTTTTAGGGTTATTCACAAAGTTCATGTACCAGTAATATTTGGGGTCACAAGTTTTTGCCATGGATATTTTGTGGGTCAGAAGATCAAAAGTTTGGGAACCACTGGTCTACTGCTACACAAGCCTCTTCATCTTACCTCAGCTGATCCTCTGCTTCCTCCAACACCACCTGTATGTCTTCATGACCCACTTAGTGCTTTCTCAAGGAGCCTTGCACTAAACCCAGCCCGACACTCCACAGGAGGCTTGTGCCCTGCTCTCCGTTTAGCCTTGGGGTCCCACAAAAGAACAAACCAAAATAAAAATCCAAAGCTGAGGCTGGATTTTTTTTTTTTTTTTTGTTGAAAGAGATGTTTTTCCTTGTATATACTTAAGAGTTTAAATTGAGCGTTGAATCTGCAAAATGTATCTTTTGAGCAAGTCTTCCAGTTTATTAATGAAACTCCCCAGTGACGACAAGGAAGAATACTGTAATGTCATTGATCCTTGAAACTTGGGCAAAACTTGTCCCAATACAAAAAGTGTTCATTTCTATTAGACATTGGTCAAATTTCACGCAAAAAAAGTTTATAATAGAGGGTCATTTGCAGATATGAAAGGCCATTTTGTTTGTTAATTTTTTTGTATTATATGCAGTTCTATTGGCTACAAAACTACTTGTAAGGACAAGTGGATAAGAGATAATCGTTTTAGCTTGATTAAAAAAGCAATTTAATTAAACAATGACCACCAAAAGTAGAATATTATATTATGTACAAACACTGAGATTTGAACAATATTTACCATTATTTTTTGGTTAATGAAAATGTGTTCCACCTGCTCATCACCACCACCTAAGCATTAAAACCAGGCAACTACAAGGTAAATTGTATTCCAGAGCAACCCATTTTTAAACCTTCAACTCTATTGTTTGCATCAAAATCACAAAAGTTCCTGTAGATTTGTTATTTTCTCTTAAACTTGTTCATAGTTTTGGACATGGCTGCTGTTTATAACATGTCACCACTGTTTCTGTGGTATAAAAAATATTAGATAATATTTACCATTATTTTACCAGGCAAGTCCCATTGAGATCTCAGATCTCTTTTTCAAGGGCGGCCTGGATCTGAAGGCAACCTATTGTACATGTTTTGGGAGGTGGGGGAAGAGAAAACTTAGAGAAAACCCAGGCAAGCACAAGGAGAACATGCAAACTCTGCACAGAGAGTTTGCCCCAGGTCCGAACCGGGGATCGAACCCAGGTCCTTCTTGCTGTGACGCGTCGGTGCTAACCACTGAGCCGTCGTGCTGTCAGTCAGGCCTTCTTGTCTGACAGTCATGATGTGCAGTCTGATGGTGGTGACAAACCTCCAAATTATAGTTAACGGTAGCTAGAAGAAAATTGTTGAACACATTTATTGATTTATTAACCTTTTTTTAACCAGGAAAATCCTTTTTTTTTTTGTCTGTGGGATGAAACTTGAGTACCCATAGAAAATGCAAAAACAAGAACAACAAGCAAACTCCACACAATAAAGACCCTGTAAGTCTGAACTGGGATCAAACCCTTTCCTGATGTGAGGGGTCAGTGCTAACCACTGAGCCGTCATTCTGCCATTGATGACCTGTAACATTGCTACCCGTGATGAACTATACCATCAGCTGCCTTCAAACATGTATAATTCAAATGCTCAAACCCTTTAAAATATGTTGGCTTTTTGTCTTTAATTTCCCAGGGCTCTCTAATAGTTGCATTTGTTGGTTTGGACATGTTTAAAAATTTATGAGTTATTGATAACAGAATATATTTTAATCAATGCTTATAATTTCATTTTAATTTCTTTTGTTTTAATAAGCATTACTCAATCGTTTTAATAGTCTATTCATATATTTAATATATGCATATTTAATTGCCTAACTACATCCTAAAGTTAAGGACTCCTCAGATTATTATTGATAAGTGATTAGAACTCTGTGATTGCCTGAGTCCAGAGTTCTCAGTTTGAAACCTTCTGGTGCTCTTCTGTGTGACTCTAGGTGTGACAGAGTGTGGACGATTGATTGTCTCTTTTGTGTCCCTGATGGAGACTGAAGACCTGTCCAGGTGTCTCTGGTGAACTGGAGACCTG